CCAATGGCTCATTTATTTCTTAAATTTTGACAAAGTTTGAATTAATTCATAAAAAGACTTCTTCTCCATTTCTGTATGTAATCACACTCATAATTTACAAATCTGACCCCTGCCTTTGGGTCATCCAAGTTCGTTGATCACCAAAATGACAAGAGACCAAATTGGACCCCACTTAGTTCTAAACCATTGCTAATGGTATTTCCATGTCAAAAAATAGGTGCAGTTTGTCTCATATAAAGGTACTTCTAAAGAAAATCATTCAACTCTTTAACTCCCAAGATCTGATTGTTAATTCTCTCCTCTACCTGCTACACATTTCCTTGTAAATCAGTCATGAGAATTTGGTGTTGGATCAAAATATCAACTCTTTTCTAACAGGTTTCAGTATTCTTGCCACTGGCTTGCTGGATGTGCGAATATCATAAGGAGAAGTTACATGTTAATCACTTCTGGAAGCTAAAGGGCTGACCTTTAAACTCCCAGGAGTGATTAACATGTAACTTCTTCCTATAATATCCATACATCATCCAGCAATCGGGTAACGAGAATACTCAAACTTATCAGACAAGTAAAAGTTGTTATCTTGATGTAACACCAAATTCTTAAGACTAATTTACAAGGAAATATTTAGCAGCTTGAGGGGTGAATTAACAATCAGATCTTGTGAGTTTAAAGGTTAGAGCTACAAAAAAAACAGAGAATGCATGCATCCCATACCTTGAACCAGATAAAGTAAAACCCTTGCTGCTCTGAGTCTTACTTCCAAGTCTGCTGCCTCACAAGTCTCAAGTGCAAGAAACAGAAATTTCTTCCTTTCACTTGGTTTCATCTCAGTCCATTTTTGATGACCAAAACCTACCCCAAAAAATTGAAAAGATTTAAAATCCATCTCTGTTTAGAATCCAAAACAACTCCCTTCAATACCAACACACATAGTTCCTCATGAGTGAAAGAAATGACATTCATCATGAAAATGACCTTAGCTGAAGTTTATCCCAAGTTTCATGCTTGTAGGGAAAAGGAGTGCTATCCAGATAACCCCCAAGGATAACCCCAGGGATAACCCCAAGGATAGCTCCAGGGATAATCCTAGGGATAACCCCAGGGATAACCCCAGGGATCATCCCAGGGATAATCCCAGAGATAATCTCCTGTCAGTGACTGTACTCCTATTCACAACAAAAAATGATCAAAAGTATTGTCACTTTTCCTGGATGGGATGCTAATCTGTGCAAGGTAACCTGCAGGGATAACTCAAGGGATCACCTCTCTTGTGTTTTCTAGTATGCTGCATTTCAAGATATCAAGTGGTTAGTAATATTGTTATTTCTCCTGATCAGATGCTTCTCTATCCAGGTAACCTCCATGGATACCTCCATGGATAACCCCAAGGGCAACTCCCTCTTGGTGCCTGTACCACATTTCATAGCATGAAGTAACCACACCCATTGTTACTCCTCCTGGAGGAGATTTTGCTCCAACTCTACATGTAGTAATTCCCCAGCAGTCTGTTACTGAAGATTCCCTGATACTCTGCTAGTACCCATTCTCCTCCCAAGTAGAAAGCCATATTGTGAATGATAACTGTCTACCATGCAAACAAAACTCAACAACCCAGCCAGGGCTTAAACCCAGACACCTAAATCCATAGTCTATCTTGCTAACCAGGAAGCTATTGAGTCTCTTGCTCTTAGTGTAAATTTCTTATAGCTTCACTAACAGTTGGGTATTAAATGTACCACAAATTCTGCTTTTTTGGAATGCTTGCCCATATCTTCTCTTCATTTCCTTCCCTCTTGCTTCTATCCAATCAGTTATATATATATCTTATTAACCAAGCGCGAGGGCCGTATTGGGAGAATATGGGCCCAAGGTCTTGACAGTAAGGACCGAGCGCAGTGAGGTCTGTACAAAAAAGACAGAGGGCCGATATTATTCCAGTACGGTCCCAAGCAAGCTTGGTTAATAAGAGATTTATTATACAACTGAAGTTCAAAGGGACTCAAGTGCAGCATCATTTGGGACCATTTGGGACAGTGCCCATTCCAATACTGAGAGAATATTGACCGGCAATAGAGCATTTTGATTGGTTGATTTTAGTTATTGGCCCTCTGACTGCGTGAGTCGTGTAATAATTTTAGTTATTAATAGCTTTAATCACAGTTAGGTAAAGGAAAATATATCTTAAGGAGTCACAGATGTACTAGATTTTCTGCTCATTTCATATGCTCAAACATGTTGTTTCTAGGTCTTGCATATTCATATATTATTAATTTATTTTGTACATATCATTTACCTTGTGAAAATACCATAGTTTCAAATGCTTCCTTATTTATTTTTAATTCATTTTCTTCAGTGTAACTATAAAGCTCTGTGGAAGAGAAGAAGCATCTCATCAAAGTCTGATCTAGAAATTGGATAGCCCAGTCAGATTAAAAGTCGATAGATTAAAAGAGCGAAGTTATATATACAGCTCGATTTCTAGTTTTCTATTTCTTTTTCACACGTCATGCATAAATGTAACGCGTTTTTATTCCATAAATTATCTGATGAAATCTAACGTAGTATTTTAACGTTTAGTGGTTTGTGGTCACGTTGATCAAGGAGCAATCCCGGCCCGCAACTCAACAAAACATGTTTTGATGACCTTTGATTGCACAACTCTTGTAAGAGCAGAATTTGTGTTGCTGTGGGTAACTATAGAAGACTATCTCTCTATGAAGCAGATAATGTGAAAGAGCTACTTAAACTTATAACGTCATAATCATGTGCGAATAGATTACAACTTACCGGCGATTTCGGCCGATTTTCTATCGGCATCGTCGTAGGTAAATTCAACATCGGGTGTAGAATCCAACTGGCCCTATCGAGAAATGAAACAATTTTAGGGTGAAAAGAAACTTTTGACTCTCCATCTACCACTGGAATACCTCTGATTCTCGTCTCTGCCGTCGCAAAAGATCTCTCAGTTTAGGTATTCCTCTCTGTTTACGATCAATACTGCCCTCCATCTTGGATTTCAAACACTTCGATTAGCAACCACGCTTTTACCCATTGAGGCCCAATCCCTTCCGTCAAATTTCAGACAAGCCAACAACTGAAGGTGTGATGACATAAAAACAAATAAAGGCAGTTGACCCTCCCATCGACCGCCTTGAGAACGGAGAAAATTGGGCTTTATAGAAAGACACCCCTTTTTACGAAGAGTATAACATTTTATTTCAAAACGCTTGCTGTAGCCTATTATGTATACCTGAAATTCAGAAGACACTCATATTGAAATGAACCGTAAAGAATGAACTCATGAAAGGCCGGATGAAAAACTTACCAAACGGAACGTGTGAACGAGTGAACGAATAAATGAATGAAAGAATGAAAAACTGAACACCGAATGAATAAAAGGGGATAAGTTTCTGAGGAGACTTTGGTCGGAGAAAGTTTCTTGAGTTGAAATTTCGAGCGTTAGCCCTTCGTCAAAGCGAATGAACGAACGAACGGGAGGATGTCCTATTCTTTTCACAACCTGGAGCTTTATGCAGTGAGAAATCGTCGTGGGTGTGACCACTCGTCGTCACACGGACTCTCTAAAAATTATCTGAGTCGTAAGACTGTAATTTATAAGTTAAAAATGGAAACGTAAATTATGGTATCGACAATTTGTACGACGTGTGTGACTTCTAGGGCTAATACTACTATACCCCCTTGATACCACAGTCCTTATTGACTGCCCCTATGACGTGGGTACGGAAAGGCTTAAAAATATTGTTGCTTTCAACTTGACTTTTGTCATTTCCAAATTCAGAGAAAACTGGGTCTAACTGGAGAAGAGCACATTTCGATCCAGTTGCAAGACCGAAGCTGTTGAAAAAATCACGTCAACCAAGCAGGAAAAGGAAAAATATCACAAGAACCCGGTGCCGATCGGATCTCGAAGTAGAAACAAGCAATTGCGGAAAAACGCGAGGGACCGATTCGCGACTTATTTTAGTTCTGTATATCAGATTGACTGATGCGCTAAGGCGGTGGCACGAGTTGTCCAGACCAATCAGAGAGCGTAGAGAGTCAAAAGTCCCGGATTTAATTAAGGAACAATCGGATTCCTAATGAAGACAAGTACAAAAGAGTTGATATAATGGCTTATAGAAAACATAAATGTCTGAAGAAGAAGAAGTCGAGTGACACGAATTTTAAATAACAGGCTTGAGATGCTTTCAGATCAAATTTTTAGGTCGCCAAAGCCGTGATTTGCTTCTGTTTTTTTAATGACGTGACCCCCGCACACGGCCTAAACTAAAAAACAACACGTACGGAAAATCCAGCCAACTGGCTGACACTTAATGCTCGGACGATGGATAAGAGATGACATTTAAATTTCCCTTAAGGTCATACATTCTTGGCACGATAATGTTGTGGATTTTGCTTTGGCTAAAACTTTTTCAAGGGTCAATGCTACAAATATTATGAAAAAGGCTAGACTTCAAAGAGACTGGTTGTTTGAATTTTTATCTGACTTTTTTATTTATTCATAGCTCGTCTGTTTGTTTATATCATGACGTGGCCCTCACACAGAAACCGACAAATTAACATTATGCTTTGTCATCTTTGCTGTTATGGTTGACGCACAAACTGATGTGAGCTAAACAAAAATAATTTTACAAAACACTAAGTAATCCTCGGGTTAAAGATAGCTTATCTTAACGGCTTTCCCGCTTCGCTTCTTCTATTTCGCTTCTTTTAACCATCGTAACTCTTGGAAACAGGTAACAAGAATCCCGCTGCATTGACATTTTTGTTTCACCGATAACGGAATAGCTTCATGTGTTTTCTCAACAAAGGCTATCATCATTTCCCCCTGTAAGTTACCCCCCTTGGTGGTTAGAGCTGATAAAAATCGGGATGTACTCGTTCTAAAGCAATAGTAGCTGTTAGATTTATAAAGTCCGTCTTTCATTTCTACCAAGTAGTCGTCATCAGAACTGATATTGCTCATTGTTTTTCCAAACATATCAGTTCAAGTTTGGCAGCAGGTTGTTCTCAGGTAAGATACTTCAGTACGTACCAAGATTTTTGACAGTGAAAAATAATAGGACTGTTATACAATGGGATGTTGTTTGATGATTTATATTAATACGCCCCACGTAAAACTGAATGTTATTGCCATTTCAAGGGAAGTAATCAGTCAGCGTAAAATTTAGCAATAATTTCACCGAGCTGCTTATTTTATGAGCTCGTTAAATAGTTTAAAGGTTAAGAAAAAGCCATGAAATTTATCCCTAAGAATTCTGAAAGACTTTGGTGATTTTTATGATTAATTTAAATCGGTGACCACTCTTTGGTGTGTCCTTCTCTTGTTCAGTTAACTATAAAATTAAGCACTTTGTATTCAGCAGTCCTTTTTACAAAGGTTTTGTTTGCGTCAGTATCCATTTGGTTTCCGTGGCACAGATATAATATCGGTGCGATAGCATAATAAGCAATATTGGTATTTGTTTTCTAGGATAACAGTTCTCAACAAATTTTATCAGCCACGTCAAGTTTTTCACCGGCACAGAGTCTCCCAAATACCACCGTAATTTAGAGAAAATCCTGTCAAGAATATCGACATGATGGATAAAAATTGCTTTTTCTATGCAGAATCCGTACAACACCATTTTATTTAAAGATCAAACACCAATGTATTGTTTGACGCAAAATGACAGCCTACTCAACGATTGTTTGAATGAGTTTGTCCAGCCGTTGTGCTGTTCTTAATGGTGATATGGTTAATTTGAAAGGGCGTCGTGTTAAATGACGTAACACAGATCGTAAAAGGATCCTTAGCCCTCATTTATATTGCCAGTTAGAAAGCCTTTTGGTCCAAGAAATCGTTTGAGGTGCTAAAAGGCCGCTTGTTTCGCTGAATGGCGAAGTGGCTATTTATAGAAAAGTAAAAGAGTTCTGGCAATCCGTCTTAGCATTGAGCTCAAATAAACAATGAATATTCTAATGAATTTGAAATTCTTTCTCATGACCTATGTTGTAGGAATGAATTGACGAATTGTTCGGTCATGTTTTGTGTCAAGGACCCAGCTTAAGCAGTTATAAAAATTTGGTCATTAAATCAAAGGAAGAGAAAGATTTCTTCACTTTCAAAACACTGACGCTGGTAAAAATTATTTGGGCATACACTAAAATGGCAAAGAAGAGTGGTATAGAGGGTCTCGGATGATATGTTTGAAGTGGTAAGATTCTTGTGTCATTGAGAACTCAAGGAAGGAGGTCACGTTTTTGAAAGCTCCGCGCCTGTGGGCAAGGAAATTTTTGCACGATACATCATTATGCAACAAAACAAGTAGAAAAGCATAAAAATTTTATGAGATAGTAAACCAAATTCTTTCACCTGTTGTGGTGGCGAAGAGGTACTAAAAATTTCAAATTTCACCTGGAACAGGAAAAACAAATAATCACACCTGGGAGGTGATACCAACCAAGTGTGACGATCATGTTCATAAATGGCAATAATGACCTTATTTGGTTGCTTATCGATAGATATATACCGCCTTCCCATTTGTTGTTTAGCAGTGAATGCAGTGACATTCCAGAGAAACCCATCAACTTTGTGTGGACAGAGTGATCTATTTCCAATTACAGCTGACGCAGTCTTAATCTGCAATCTGTTCGAAGTTTTTTCTACAATGGAGCTTGCTAAGAAGTGTCCGTTTTTGGCTCGTGTTCCCTCGTCTTTCGTTCGCAAAGCGAGGGGACCAGTGCTCGTCTCGTACGCCGAGCGTTGCCCCGTGATGTCGGAGGTTTTGAACAAAACCGATGAAATTCCTGATAAGAACGAAGGTAAAACTATACTTTTTGTACTACTATAGTTCGTGTTTATATAATTTAACGTTTTAACGGTTTTGCCGAGCGATCGAAGGTATCTTTCTGTCGTTTTCAAGCTTTCGTGTTTGTCCAGTAAATTGCATAACATGTAAGGGGTTATATGGAAATCTTGCCGATTTTAAATCTAATCTTTCTTTATCACAGGAGCCAAGACTCACGGAGCTGCGACATCGGCTAAAGGTTTGTTTGTATTCGAACTTAACTCAGGTGGATTAAAGTCTTTAAAACGAAAAGGAATGTGTTTTTGTCGACAGTAAGTTTTCGGAGACCTTGCCTCTCCTTCGTATTGTGTTTGTGCGATCGTACGTGGTCGCAAAATGTTATTGCATTGAACATTTCTTTTGGAATCAGCAAGATCCCACATTATTTGTTTTTAATTTAAGCTTCTGTAACGAATAGGAATGTCAATGACTCATGACATCCTATGTATTGCCAATGTTTGAGCTTTTTTGTGATTTGAAGTGTCTGACAATTTCAATCATTACCAAGCCGGCTTCTCTCTGGTTCAGTTGGCCTGCGTGTCATGGTCGTATGACAAACCGGAAAACTGATCATCCTTGACGGCAACAACATTTGCATCTACGCATTTCTCTTTTGTTCAGCATATTTTGTGGGACATGGTTGATTGGGGTCTTTTTTATCAGCGAGTGTTTCCCAAACCACTTTTTCCTCTTTCACAATTTTGTTGTCCGTCACTCAGTTAGTCTTTTTTTTTTTTCTATGTTAAAATCGGATATTGGCCCAGATCTGAAGTGTCGCGGAAAATATAATCATAGAAAAAAGTTGCTGACTCACTGACAAAGGAACTTTAATTAAAACCTGATAGCAGGGAAACTCATTAACAACTTGGGCTAGAAATGAATTTTCGAAATGGATGTATTGATATTGTGCAGTAACATCGACATCAACTCCGTTCAAAACAGCGTAGCAACAAATTATCAAAAAATATTTGTATCTTCGAAGATATTTTCGAAACCTCAAAGCATCATTTTCGGATCGTGATTGAAATTTCTTGAAATTTGTCTTGAAATAGATTTCAGAGAAAAAAAATATTAGCAAGTTGAACTGTAAATAAACTCCAAAAACGGATGTTCATCAGTAGATGATATTGGATGGTTTCCTTGACAATAGCTATCGTGTATGAATTGAACTTGGTTATTTGCTGCCCTCTGTTTATTAGATGGATATTTCAAAGACATATACCAGTTTCCAAGTCAAATTATATATGATAATATGTTTCAAAGTGATACAAAGTGATGCAAAGTAATTTTGTTAAATTGTAGATGTGTCCCTGGTTACATAGCCTATATAATTTAGATAGGCCCAGTATAGGCACCTGTATATTGGACTGTGCAGTGTAAAACATTGATGACGTGTCAATGTCCTACATGTTGAAGCATTATGATTGCTTGTAGATTTGCATTGGGGTCAATTTCCTTGCTCCTTATATAACTTAACAGAAGTTTTTACCATGGCTAAATATTAAAACTTTAATTGAAATGTACTTACTCAATTACTTACTTGCATGTTTCAAAAACGAAGTGAAGATCTTAAAACGCATGCAAGTTTTGAGGAAAATGTATTTTCATAATAAGTTGATAAACTTTCAAGGTGTTATGTTCTCTGTTAGGTGTCATCTCCCTAGACCAACCATTTGACAGCAAACAGCTTTAGCAATTACATCTATACATATGAGTGATTTTTTCTTTCCAAAAAGTAGAAGAGTCAATATCTCATGATGTATCTTTAAAAATGAGAAAAAAGTCCTTGGTTAAGAACAAAATCAAAACTACAATGTAGGACCAAGGAAACTCAAACTTGTGAATGTTCTGACATGCCAGGGGTTTTAGAATGGTTCTGATATTTTTCTACATTGTTTTCAAATGTATATGTTTTGCATGGGTATCAAGAGATGTTTAGCAAGAATTCTGAACTTAACAGTATTGGGTTCACCTCATTTCCTTCTTTTGAACTGTATTTTCAGCTGGTAAATGTCCAGTTATGCACAATGCCACTGAGGTAAACAATAATGAACTTGTTACCTGCGCCTGTGAATATCAGGAAGGAACTGGGAAGAAGGACACGACCCTAGAGTCAGGTAATGAGAAAAAAAAACTTGTATAATAAGTGCATGAGCAATTTTTGATTTCAGTCCTGTGAGTCTTTTTAAACTTATTATCATGAGTTATGTGCTATTATAACATAGCTAGAAGAGCCACTCAATCAAATTCAGTATACATTTATAAGGGTGTTCAAAATCCCAATAGTGCAAGAAGCTCAGGTAACACTTACGCTTCTTTCATGCTCTCCAAACTTCCCACGTGCTCCATAACTCGATAGTGCATGTTAAAGCATGAACCAACTGTTAATCATTGACTGGACTGGTAGAATTTAGACTTAAATAAATATTTTTTTTTACAGGGGTTTTAGAACAGACTTGTAACAGGTGACTATCTTTTCTTTCAGCTGGGAAATGTCCTTTCTCAAGTGGCAAGTTAGTTGTGGATGCTGTGCAAAAAATCCACCCCACCCCTGCAATGATAGCTGGAAATGTTTTCCCCCAGGTCACTGGTGTGCGGCAACTGGTCACCATGCCCCTTGCTGTTCAAGGTAATTTGTAAGCATGTCTGGAATGCATCAACAGTTGAATTTTGTTTTGAAAGTTTAAATGAATATTGTTGCAACTTTGTTTTTCCTGTGCCTTGTGGTACTCTTTTAGTGTACCACAAGTACACTAAAAGTGTACATGTGCAATCCCAGCCCTTCAAGAATCCATCTCATTTCCCAGAGCTGAGAACATGTCATAACATCAATTTCCAAAAGTTCATGGGTCTAAATCCCTTTTGAGATTTTCTGTTTTCTAATCCCCACATCAGCCTGATCCAAACATCTCTTTATGTTTATTAATATGTTAATATGTGAGTTAGGACTTAAGATTCTCACATCTTTCTTGTGTTATTCTTTAATTTCTATTCAGGTAAAATGCAGTAAGGCTTGGAATGCAATTAATGAGAACATAGTATTCTCTCATTTAGCAAGACCTTGTCCTAGATTTCCTAACATGAAGTGACAAGGAATATTACAACTCCCCACCCTGCACAGGATGCTAATTCATGGCAAGGTTGTCCCCCCTCCCCTTAATAATGTGCCCAGTACCCATTCATACTCTTGGGGAAGCATTGTGAAAGTAAAGTGTTTTGCCTAAAAAAACAACACATTGACTGCATACCTCTTGAACCCATACCTCTTGACTCAGAGTCCAAGGCACTAATCATCAGGCACTGCATCTCTTGCTCTGGAATTATTATGATAATCATTCTAATTATTGTTCAGACTAGTGTGTGCACTTACCCATCGGTTTGTGTATTTTATATTTCTCAGGTCCTGCACCCAGCATTGAAGCCTTCCAATCTCACTTTGATTATGATCGATTCTTTTTGGATGAGATTGAGAAGAAGAAGATGGACAATACTTATCGCATCTTTAAGAGGGTGAACCGTCTGGCTGAGACTTTTCCTCTGGCCAAGGATTACAGAGATTCTTTAGATGGAAAAGATGTGTCAGTTTGGTGCAGTAATGATTATCTGGGGATGAGCCGCCACCCGGAGGTGTTGAAAACTGCGAGGTAAGGGGAGTGATTAGTCGGGTGAAATGCTACAGCTGTAGCAGTTTGTTTGATTTGTCCATAATTTTTAGACGAGTGCTTCATTGTAACGAATTAGAAAGATGGTAAGTTTTGAGTTCAGTAAAGAAATATAGAAAGATGTTTTTCATCTAGTCAGAAGGGTGGGACAGAGAAAAAATTCTGAGTCCCCATGAGGTATGAGTGCTTCATTGTTGTTGTTATCATGACCACTCTTGCAATCACAAATCTTCACGTAAACCTGTAATGCCTGCTATCAATTAAGAATGCCTTACAAGAAACAGTCTGTTACAAGCATGTCACCCCAGTTTGAGTCAAGTTCAACTGTTACAATAACGGAACTTTTTTTTGTTCTGACAGGGAAACCATTGACAAGCATGGTGTTGGTGCTGGTGGCACCAGAAACATCTCTGGCACAAGCAGTTATCATGAAACCTTGGAGAAAAAATTGGCCGAAATACACAAGAAGGAGGCAGCACTGCTCTTTACCTCTTGTTATGTAGCCAATGACACCACTCTGTTCACTCTGGCCCGTCAACTACCAGGTGAAGAGCACATGACAAATTTGATGGTGTAAACGATTAAGAGTGAAACTTAAAAATCTATGAATACTTGAAGTATTTCGTTAACGTTGTGTTGTTAACAAATACTCAATCAGATGTGATGAGAAACACTTTTTAATGGTATTGGACTGTTATTCCTTTTGCAGGCTGCCTGATTTTTTCTGATGCTGGCAACCATGCCTCCATGATCCAGGGTATTCGCAACAGTGGAGCGAAGAAGTTTATCTTCCGTCACAATGACGTAGAGCACCTGGAGCAGCTCCTGGAACAAGCAGACCCTGAGGAGCCAAAGATCGTGGCATTTGAGACTGTGCATTCCATGACAGGAGATGTGTGTCCATTAGAAGAGCTGTGTGATGTGGCACACAAGTATGGTGCTTTGACCTTCGTGGATGAGGTAAGCAGTTGGTGATCGATGTTGAACATTTTAATCTGTTGATTCTGTCATATTTTTACAGCCAGCCAGTTTGACAATCTATGGAGGTTGTGAGGGAGATTTTTTTTTATCATACCTTGCCATGAAATCAACTTTTAAGCAGTAAGCGACTATTTTTGGACTGCATTTTTTTTTTTTTTTTACCAGCTGTCAGCATTGCTCTTCGATTGAGTCTCTCGGCCAACTATGTTAGCACATAACCTTTCAGTTACTGACGGCCTTAGTGACACAGTTACCATTGCACCATTGCATCACCCACAAAGATCAAGGAAGCACTGATTAATTGTTCTTTTCAATCAACAGGTTCACGCGGTGGGTATGTACGGTGACAACGGTGCAGGCATCGGGGATCGGGACAACATCTTGCACAAGATGGACATTATCAGTGGCACCCTCGGCAAGGCCTTTGGGTCCATTGGTGGGTACATTGCTGCATCCGCTGCTCTTGTTGACAACGTGCGCAGCTATGGGTCTGGTTTCATCTTTACCACCTCTCTTCCTCCGGTGACCGTGAACTCTGCCATTACATCCGTTAATATTCTGGCCAGTGACGAAGGACGCCGGTTGCGCGAAAAGCATCAAAGTGCCGTGCGCACCCTGAGAAACAAGCTGGTGAAAGCTGGTCTTCCTGTGGTGTATGCTCCGAGTCAGATCATACCCGTGCATGTAAGTGTCTTTCATTGTCGAGAAAGGCAAAACTTGAAGGGATAATTATTTGAATGAAGCCTCACTTCGGTGTTGACTTCAGACAATTTAGGAACCTTTATCTCCTCTTAAAGTGGGTTTTTTCTTTTCTTCTTTTTTTTTTATAGCAAATGGATGTTAATTCTTGTTTTGCAATAGCCACAACGTATGGCCTTTTTGACAGTGATCACAAAAATTAACGAATTAACGAATGCATTTGACTAAATCAGAGAAGCCATAGAACGCGGCAGGGATTAATTTCTCTTTGGTTCATCCGGAGGTTGGTGATGCCGCCAAGTGCACAGCCATATCCAACGAGATGCTGACCAAATATGGCATGTACGTCCAGTCCATCAACTACCCAACAGTTGAACGCGGCAAAGAGAGGTTGCGTATCGCTCCCACTCCTGAACACAATGAAGCCATGATGGACAAGTTCACCGAAGCTCTGGTCAAGGCTTGGAAGGACAACGGGATGCGTTTTTTGACCCCCCATTGCACCACTGCTTGCGACTGCCAAGAGCGCTGCATCACCTATGGAGAGCTCGATTGCAACAAGTACGCTTCCCAGGTTGGCGCCTAAATTGCCGGCCAATATAGCTCTCCGAATCGACTTCTCCAGTGGGCTTGTAAAGCTCTTAAAATGAAACTATACTATTGAATTTTTCAAATGTAATTTTCTGGAGAAAATTGAAATAATCATACATTGAAAGAACCATGTTCTTGTGTTTGTGTGTTTGCTGTTTACTTTGTTCCAACTTCTTTTTGTTTCCTTATAACTTTTGTAGCCCTGTATTCACTAAATTTCTGCTAAGACTTCAAAATATGTGTATCTTTGTGCTGACTGTTTTCAATTCTGAACCAAATATGTTGAGTTCTATTGGCTTCGACACCTTAATCTACTCAAAGATGCCATCCTTATGCCATTTGAAACCAAGAATGTCTGTTGCGTCGTATGTTAGCCTTTTCCTGTTGGTGACTGCCTTTATGCCGGCACAGAGCGTGCCACTGAATTGCTTTGACGCAAGATGTCCCGAGTTACTCGCAAGTATTACCTTTGAAACCAATATCTACTTGACTTGTTACGCTCAAAGAATTGTGACTGCCCTTATGCCAAGACTGTAAAAACAGCGAGTTTTTCTTGCTGTTATGTACTGCAACGCTGTTGCTGGAAACATCCTGTTTGGAGACCGTCGGTGTATCTTGCTTTCTAAAGAGGTGATGGCACTCATGCCAAAGCACGTGACCGTGTCATTACGTATGCTTTTCCGTACAAAATGGACCACAAAGCTGGTTCTGCCTGTGAAAAAGAAGCCCTTATACCAAACGGTCAACGACGCTAGTGAACTTATGGTCGTTGCCAAACTGTGGAGTCCATTTTACGAGACGTGGTCTTTGACGTGCCAACTGAAGAGAATTGAAAAGTTTCGTTAAGCAACGGTGTTATTAGATTAGATTAATGGGGTGGCTGCCGTTTATGCCAAAGCCATTTCGGCTTCTTACAGAGTGGACAAGTAACTTAGTGACACTGCTATGACACCACAGCTATCAAATGGAACTCCCAGGTATAGATGAATCGATTCGCGGGAGGAAGACACGTAAAATGGTGGGAGTTTTACAGGACATCGAGCGAACGATGACGGTTTTGGGATTTCCATTTGGTATCTGTAATGACCCTCTCTCATTGTTCAGTAGTGCAAAGAGCGCACAAGTCAACGAGGTTTAATTCGGAAAGTGAATTCTAACGGATTTGCGGTTCGCAAAGAAAGATACTGGTGCGAAGACTTTGGGATGCCACGCCTGTATCACCTAATTCCATTTTAGTATTTTTTTTTTTTCTTTGCATACTTCTATAACAGTACAGCTACTAAATGGAACCTCCGGGTGTAGTTGAATCGATTCGCAGGGAGGAAGTAGAGTAAAATGGGGAGAGTTTTAAAGGAATCACGAGCGAACGATGAAGGCTTTCGGGTTTCCATTTAGTACCTGCGCTGCGTCTCGCCAATTTATAAGCAGAAGAAGAAGTTTACATGTCTAAGGAGCTATATTCGGAGAAGCAATTTTAATGGATTTGTCGCTAGTGAGAAAAAAAAATCGGATATGTCCTTGATAAGAAATCGGTGTTGGTTTTGGAAGATAGTGTTAATTTTAGTGGATAGAGGTTAGCTGAAGTCTTTCTTTTTTTTTTTTTGAGTGAAACTTAGGACTCAACCTTACCAATTAAAATGTTGTACTTTCATAGCCAAAAGTGTTCTTGACGCATCACTTTCTCATTCTGAACAACCTCGAACTTTTAACTTACCCCGTTACAACTGACCAAAAGGCTTGCACAGGTCTTAGACATCTCTCTTCCTAGCCACAGCTGGCGCCCCTCCGTTACATCCGTGGCCTCAATGTCAAAACCTCGTTGAGACGGTGTCCTTCAGCTTCTAACGTCATAGTAGTCATATGAACAACAACAACAGCGGTTCAGAAAATGATCTCATAACAAAATGAATCTAGTAGAGGTACTGGGAGAGGGCAATTAAGCAGTTGTGTGAAAATTTATCTTCTTGTGCGCGAAGAATTGTAGGATATTTTTGGGCGCCGGGATCTTTGCCAAGAGGGGAACAGTTGTGAGTCCCAAGCACTAGAGTTAGGAGTGATTAAGAAACCGTCTCTTTCTCATCTACAGCTTCTTTCCTACATTCCCGGCTGGAGACAGATAGATTTACAAACAGTTTTAATCGGACAGGCCAAATTGGACAGTTAAGCAGCAGATAATATTAAGCAGTAGCATATCACTACTGATATAACCGCCTCCTGATTAGCTCAATTGGTAGAGCGCCGGACTGTTGTGCGGGAGGTCGGGGGTTCAAGCCCCGGCCGGACCAACACTCAGGGTCTTAAAATAACTGAGGAGAATTTTCTACCTTTCTATAATATCAAGAAATAGATAGATATTCTAGTCTTCTCGGATAAGGACGAATAAACCGTAGGCCCCGTCTCCTGCAGGGTTAGGGGTAGGAGACGTTAATTTCCCACGCACGAGATTACTGTGTGGTGGATGTCCTCCCATTGGGGTGGGATGGGTGGATTTACTGGGCCCGCAGTAATTNAATCAGAGCTGAACAACAGAGAAATTTCTAAAATCGTAACATTTTAGTAACATTTATTAACATTTTAGTTTAACATTATATAAACCGCGCGGAGCGGTATATACAGCGTCATATAAGGAACCGCTCGACCAATCAGATTGCTGGAAACTCTTTGTTCAGCTCTGAAATTATACTAAATATATATATATATAAACGTAAAAAACCTTATCCTTGAATCGGATAGTGCTCTACAATCATGGAGCTTTGTAAAAAATTATATAGGAAAATAAAAATTAAAAGTTCGCACTAAAACGTCACACTACAGATCTGTTTCGAAAGGGTTAAAAGTCCTCTCTCATCAGGTGCATAAGATACTAGTTGACTAACGATCCTTTTTTAAGTAGGTGGTTTGAGCATACCTTATCAAATATTTAGTTGAGTGCCGGCACGCACTCGCCAGTTCGTTCCTTTTGTTTAGGGCGGGCACCATAAAGAAAAAAAGCAATGCTACTAGCATAATATGCCACTTTTACTAGCATCATCTATAAATGCCTAGCCATTGGTGGCCATAATGCCTAATCTGTCACTAGTAGCCAAAACGTCAAATCGGCCACTGGTAGCCCAAACGTCAAATCTGTTACTAGTGGCCAAAATGCCAAATCGGCTACTAGTGGCCCAAGTTCCTAATCTGCCACTAGTAGCCAAAATGTCAAATCGGCCACTAGTGGTCAGAATGCCAAATCGGCCACTAGTGGCCAAAATTCCTAATCTGTGACTAGTAGCCAAAATGTCAAATCGGTTACTAGTGGCCAAAATGTCAAATCGGCCACTAGTGGCCAAAATTCAAAATCGGCCACTAGTGGCCAAAATTCCTAATCTGCCAATAGTGGCCAAAATGTCAAATCGGCCATCTGATATCACTCGCACTATTGTAACCATAAATTGTACTTCATCCAGTCCTATTGGCATTACTGCACTCTGCTATATCAATGCAAATTTTAGAACAATTTCCTGCAGAAGTTGTAGTTTAAGTGATCTAGCACCAACAATAGAACGTCGATCTATTTTGAAATGCAGCTTACTTTAATTCATTATTTCAATTCTTCGGTCTGATTTGCTCTTTATTGTTTTCTCTCCCACAAATATTGTAGCTTCTACGTAGAAAATATCAGTATTACAGAAGAGAGCTGTCTTCTGCTGAGGTGCCGTCATATCTCTATCAGTCAAGACAATTATTTGTGGGTGTGTATTCGACCGTGAACGGCATAAATTAAAAAAAATTCTTGGCGAGAACTTTGTCATCCATGCCGACGGTTCTCAACATGTTGTGAACGTTTTTTACCAAACAAGAGTTTTCCGACAAAACAATGGCCGAAAAATTGCCAGATGAAGTCGCTAACTCCAGAGAGAGTTTTCGAAACATCGCCTGCTTCTTTGTATTTGGAATATTCTCGTTAAGTTACGATGAAACATCTCTCGCGGCGGCCGAAGATGTATTATCTGGCAGTAATATTCCGACAACAATTGTTATAATTGCCATTGCTGTACCAGTTCTCGGAGTAAAAATCACTGCTCCATGGTTTCTTCAGAGGTGTTCTTACCTCGTCAAGGCCTGTCTGGTTGTGTTACTTCTTCTTGCCGGATTAATCGTGGTCGTAATGGCTTACAATGTTCATTTGAGGTTGTTTGGTATAAGCGTCATCGAATCCGGCGTCAGCTTCAGCGAGATAACTTTCTTAGCCATGACTGCCTGCTATCATGAGATCACAGTCAGTGCATTTGTAGCTGGGATCGGTGTGGCCTCGTTATTAGGACCTTTTTATTACACAGGTTAGAAAATATTTTTACCTACTTGTAGGATATCGATCATTTTGACGAGGAATTTGAAAATTTACATACAGTAAGTCATTTATGTGCCAAGCATCACTGAACTTCCAAGGCATCGCACCTTTGCCTGTCTTGAAAGACAGACTTAGCATCTTGACCGGTCTCTCTGTCTAACCTAGGCCATCTTAGCTCAGTGCTTTTGCTTGTTTTCAAAGAAGGAACACTTTGATAAAATTCAAATTTTTGCTGACTTCAAACCGGGCGGGCGCAGTCGATTAAAATCAAGATGCATTTTAGGTGTACCGACTGCTACAGATCAGAAAAGGTGTATATTGGATTTGCTCGTTCGCGTAGAAGTACAGACTCGTCATTTGTTTCGAAACGTTGGCTCAAATTCTCTGGTTCTGCAAAGTATCGTGATTATACAATTGAACCTTCAATGAAGCGTAAAACTGACAGCCTAATAAATATTCACAATTATTATTCAACTGTGCTTCTTAGAGTACGCGATATTTGTACTCTAGAAAAATCTGCGGAATTCACCCGCACTGAAATTGGCGTGTTGGATAATAAATCTCTTATTAGACGTTTTGTTGTGGAGTACCGTTGAGTATTTTTGCTCTTTATTTGTATTTTGACTCGCTTTACGGGTTCGTCAAAATACGGCACAACTCGTAAAAATACTCAGTGGTACTCTGATTGACACTACAACAGAGAGGTATCCAGAGGATAGACATAATTATATCGCCAACTATAAAGTTTGATGACGAGAATATTGTAAGGGTGCAACTGAAATCAGCAAAAATATCACACCTTTATCAATTTTATTTAGTCTTGAAGCTATTAGCCAATAATAGTCGTTTGTCGTTTTTGGTAAACCATTGCAGAAGCCAGTTTTTTTTTGGACAGGTTTGACTAATTTATGCAAACTCATGCCCAGAAGGAAGAGATATTCTATTTTGAACTATCCAAACAATGACGGAAGCGAACCAGTTTTATTAGCCATGAACAATTAAGAAAATGTGAGATTTTCATTTGAAACGATAAGTTTGTGGTTCAATGTGATAATAAAATCATTTTTTTTTCAGTCAGATTCCTTTACAATACTTTTTTATGAAGAAATTCTGTTAAGGATTCAAGTGATTTGTAAAAAATAAATTCTGGTGGCTTTCAATGCTGTCTCTGACCCCATTTGAGTCAATGCAAGATCTCTTAAAATTGTAAGAACGCCTCCTCTGGGGCCATTAGAGTAAGTCAACCTACGCGACAGGCGTGATATGTGAAATAGTGGTGTTTCATTTGATATCCCAACTGGTCCTAACCCAAAGACTTATGAACTTCAGAGACATTTGCTATTAAAATGGGACATCATATCTTCAAAATATCAACAGTCATGCTTTTTTTTATCAGAAGATATTCTTCCTCACAAAATGTGTCAGTATAAAAAATGCCCCTTTGCATGATGGGAGATTGTTGATGTCTAAGAACACAGCAACGGAAGAAGCATTCGGCCAACGGTGGGGTTAAAATTCAATCGGCACATTCCCACCCACGACATAAACGAGTACCTCCACTGATGAAGTGGGAGAAAGACGGGAGCAAAGAGATGGAGGGTGGCTGGGGGGGGACGGGTGGGTGTGATGTTAATACAAGTTTTTAAGTCACAAGTTACAGAAAAGTATAACCGATCCTCAGTTACTTTCTCAGATGTTTCATCGAAATTGCTTCACCTTTGAATGTTATCAACTGAAGGCAACTTTGCAGTACTTACCAAACTGAATCTGACCTATATCTTGCAGGTCTAACAACATGGCTGTGTCTCGCACCAAGAACAACACTTTTAACAACATTCCCCTGGCCATTTCTCGTCTTAGTTACTTACTTCATCTTGGAAAAGAAAGACATTGATTCAAACACAAAAAGAAACGGAGGCGTCAAGTACGAAAAACTTACCTCGAGCGAGAACACTTCCGCGAATGAGCAAGAAGCAACATTTGAACACGGCTTGACTTGGGAAGAGAAATTCTCGGTCGCAAAGCAGATATTACCCTATATAACTTTTTTGTTTCTCACATATTTTGCAGAGTATCTCTCTAACCATTCCATTATAACAACCCTAGCTTTTTCAAACTCCTCCTTCAGTCCAAGAGATCACTATCAGTACTACATTGTGTGCTATCAAGTTGGAAAGTTCTTGGGAAGGTCTCATATCTTTCTGCTCTCTTGCACCTGCTCAAAAGTGGTCCCTTATGTGCGAGTTAAGAAAACATGGATTTTTGCGTTGGTAGAGATAGCACATCTGCTGTTCTTTGTTTTTGCTTCCTGGTTTCGTTTCGTGCCGCATGTTTTTATCGTACTAATTCTCTGTGCAACAGAAGGATTTGTGGCCGGATCAATGTATGTCAATTCGGCACACACAGTGTCTGAGCTTGTCTCAGACCCGAGGCAAAGAGAATTTGCATTAGGATTACTAACGATTGGGAACGGGATAGGAAAGCTAACAGCTGGGGTCGTGGGCCTTCATTTGGAACCGCAGCTAAAGAGCCATTGCGTTTATGACTTAGAGTTACAAGATCAGTGTATTACTCGATATCCAACAGAAGCTGGCTGGGATACAAACATGCGCTGCAGTCATCCTCAAACAAACTCAACTAGATTGTGAATTAAAAAAAAGACATTGCTAGAAGATATGATAATATGTGTTTTATTGTAGCAATATTCGATTGAGCGTCCAAAGTAATCGGTGATTACTTTGGTTTTGCTATACTTTGCTATGTGGTTGGTTCAATCGGTGATTTCTTTTAGTCAACCAATTGACTCCATGCTGCCCCCTTACGTCTGTTCAGTAATGAATCACGTATGATGTCAAAATGTGGTAAGAACAAATTAGAATTATAACAAAACCAAAGTAAAGTGCGCGCTCTGATTGGTCAATTCAGCGTCCACTATTTGCCCATGGGTGTACGCTGCTGACGTGAGCAAATGCAAAGACTAGTTTTCCGCGCACGCTTGTTTTTTTCTGGCCACGTCAGATTTGTTAAATAAAAGAAAACCCTGTTGCTACAATGTATCAATGTTATGTTATAAAACAAATGGCAAACGCCACAGTGTACACTATTGAGTTATGAATGCACTTAGGGGGTTTGCTAAGGTTAGCAACCTCCCGCGTGCATCCATAACTCTATAGTGTACGCTATGGTGTTTACCATTTGTCGGTTAAGCGTTGCACACGAGGCGCAGTCGAGCGCGTTACTGATCTTCTTACCACATTTTGACGTCTTTTGTGATCTACCACAACAGACCCACGGTAACATGGAATCAATTTGTTTTATATAATAAAAAAGCAAAATCCTGCTAATGGTAACGTCAATCAGACTGCTGTTAAAACTAATTTTTTTTTATTTAGCCTTCTAATAGATTTTTTTTATGTCTTATCTTTTAGCTATTTTAATGACTAGGCTATTGCTACTTTTGATTGTTTATTTATTTAAAGTATTTAATAGTTTCTTATGTTTTTAGTTGCTCTTAACATAATTTTACTTTGAGAATATAATGAAGCGCAACTAACTATATCCATATAGAGGTCTGCACTATTTAAATGTAATTATTAAAAACTAGATCATTGGATAATGCAATTCGAGACTTTTTATTGGCTTAGCCATTATGGTCAATGAGCCAATATACCATAATCTACAAATATGGAAAGCGTACGCGTAAGCTTCAAATCAAAAGGGAGCTAAAAAATCCGGTTTCTTCTTACAAAATAATAATTTCTACGGGGCGTTTTTAGTAAAACAATTATTATCATTATCTATGAGTCTGTTCCCCAATAGATCATAGGTAAGAACCAATCAGAATGCCTACATAACTGGGCTTGATATATAAACAAAAACCAAACGAATTTCCCGTGGTTTACGCAGTTTACCTAATTTCCCTTTGATTTCTCATTGCCAGCTAGCCTTGTAAAACATCCTTTAATTGTTCTCTTTGTTGTTGGGATTTCTTGAGTTTTGCTCTTACGACAAGCAATAAAAAAACGCTCTGTGTAACTGTAATTAACAAATGGTAAACACCACAGC